CTCATTTCCAGACTTACTGAAGCTGTTTCATGCCTAAGGTTACATGTATGAAAAGATTTGCTTCATGATAATTGGAGCCTAACTACTCAAGAGTGCTCCAGTTGAAGAGAACTAGATCTTCAGACTGTCAAAAAAGGCAGGGTGATTTCAGTCACAAAAAGTAACCTAGGCATTCATAGCAGTCAAAACTAATTCCTGCACTAGAAATATATACTTCAAGCCATTTAGAATATAACCCTATGGTCCCTGAGAAGGCATTTTAGAGGCCACTAGATCCATTAGATCTCATTTTCTCTACTCTCAGAGATCTCATGTTGGAAGCTGTGGGAAGATCAACTATCAATCCTGCTTCAATGTCAGAGCTCTAATATCAAAGATAGTGAAAAGAAGACATTCTGGAGAGGGTGTTGCCTTCCTGTTCTCTCAACAAGCTCACAAAGTGGGGAGGGAGCAAACTATGGCAGTCCTGGAGCTGGAGTACTCCTTGCCAATGTTTCCTATGGGGGGGGGCGGAACCTTAACAAAAAATTAGGAGGGAGAACAAAATGCCATTAGTGCATTGGGAAATATCATTCTTCAACTTTTGGTTCCTTCACCTGCACCTTTGGATTGCTCTGTAAACATGCAGAATGACAATGGGGTCAGCCTTTCCTGAATAATTATAGAATATGAATCACCTCTTATCAGTTTTGTTTGTTTCCATAGGCTTGGAGTTCTTCAGTCCACCATCTTATTGTGGACTTCTCATATGTTTACCCATCCTTGATGAAAAATGGAAATACTGTGGCCTTGATCCAGAGAAACACAAGTGGAAATGAGGATGGCCTAGCCCTAGAGTGAATTTTCAGCACCTCAAAAAGCTCCACTTGAGCACTTGGGGACCCTCTTGAATGAGGCGTGTTGTGATGTGAGGGGCTGGGGCTGGGGTGGAAGGGGGAGACACTGAAAGTTGGGTGAAAACACCTTCCATGAGCAGGAAGGTGCCTGCCTGATTTTTTGCCCATCCATCCTTTCTCCACAGCAACGTAGCCCACCTCATTTATAAGAATCCTCCAACCCTCAGGAGAGAGGGCTGCCAGGAGAAGGGAGGTGTGGGGAAGTCATTTGAGGTCAGTTCCACTTCCACTGACACTTCTCCACTGGTACAATCATTCTAGGTTAACCTGCAAAATTGATTGTTTCTTTTCTGGTGTTCTTCATTAATACTAGATACAGGTCAGTCAAAGTGCTTAATTGCTGGTTATACTCCTTTGCAGCATGAAAGCTACAACACGTTTTCCAAAGGAGGTAGATGGACTTGTACATATCTCTAAGGAGTCTCATATTTTGGAACCAAAACAAGTTAAAATCTGACACTGAAGGTAACATGCTAGTTCTAATTATCTCTAATACACCTCTTATTCCCACCCACCTGACAATGATAACACAGAAATTGGATATTTATTGACTAGCATGCCACATCTTTTCCCAATATCAATTAGACATCAAATTAATGCATGATTTTTAAAGTACTATATGTATTTCTATATCTAGATGTACATACACAATGAAATAAGGAATCAATGAATTAATATGTATTGGTCTTACCTTAAATTCCTCCAAGATTTTGTAGCTTTTCCCATGGTATTCACAAAAGTTCCTCACTTCTTTGCATTCTGGACAGCATCCATTGTGTTCTACTTTAGTACACTTTGGGTGGATTTTGGGGCATTCTGGTTGGTCACAAACAGGTCCATCCTCGGTACAGACACATGGACAGTTGGAATGCCCTGGAAAAAACCGCTCTCCCAGTTTGTATACAAAACCACTGTCATCCACACAACCTTTCCCTCGATAGTCATCAAATATCAGATTATTATCATTATTTGAGATTTGATCACCTTCATCAGCAGGGTAGTCTTCATGGTTGAAGGCAGCTGGAGTGACCAAACTAGGAATTAGCAACAGAAATATGCAGGCTTCATGAATATGAAGAGCCATCCCCCTCCTCAACTTCTGTATATGGTCCTAATATCAGATATACACAGATGCTTCCATGGAGAGGCCAGAGTGGTGGGCTGAAAACAAATATTTTAAATAGGTACAATTTGAAACATATATAGCTATATAGCAGCTGACAAACATTAACTGATTAGAAATCCTGTCTTTTTAAGAACAATGGGGTCAAATCATTAGGTCATGTATGTAATACTAGCATAATCAACTGGAATTATGTGTACATAATTTGGATAATTCTCAAGTTATATTGGCTCTGTCCAATGCCAGGAATTGGTTGTTCATCTAACTTCATCTGGACAGCACGCACAATGTGTACCTCAATATAAACATTCTCCTGGTTAAATTAAACAATGTTCACACAACAGAATGAAATTGGATAAAGCAGTGTATTGCTAAATCTCGATGGATGATGAGCTATATGCCTTCAACTTGTCTCCAGATAACGCATCCATCATTCTAACTAGAAAACTAAAAGGGAATGCTAATCCAAAATGGATTGGACAATATGCCTATTAGCCAAGCAAGTTAAGAATTGATACTTCTTGACATTAGTCAGATTTCTATGTGACAAACACATTAGTCACATGTTGAGTATTTCCCATGGTGTTTGCATAAATACAAGCAATTTGTTGTTTACATCTAGGTGGCATGCACATTTGTTTACTCACTGGTGCAGAGATATTTTTTTTTTTAATTGTTAAGAGGATGAATTACAGGTGAATGAGACTTTAATGGAATTCAGTCTAGAGACCATAATCGTTTCTACTGGGATCACAACTCAGCACTGCTTTCAACCCACCTCAGTTGGTTAATTAAAACAAAGATGTAAATATGCCAGGTGTTTTTATGGGAAGCAAGAGGTTAAAGAGAGAATGATTCCGAAATGTAATTACATTTAGACTTCGAATGAGAAGAAAATGGTGTACCAATTCTACTACTGAGTATAATGAAAAACGTTTGGTTGTGGTACTTATCTGACAGAAATCAAAATGTGTATTTCTATATGTCTTTTCTATATGAACTGATTCATAATGGCTTCTTTTTCTTAGCCAGTAGCCTCCAGTGTACCTTACAGGGGCTCAACGTCACTGTAGCACTCATATGTATGAGTCCTGGTGGATCCTGAGTGGCTGTGTTCATACTTGGATTTGCTAACTGATTATTTTTCTTATTTTACATTTCCCCTTGCCTTATCTTAGGGCATCTAATATCAACTCCACTAGTCTTAGGGCATCTAATATCATATCAAAATATACAAGGAGCATGTACAAGGAGAAACCTACTAGGCACACTTAATTATTTCAATAGGCCATGTCAACTTAGTATCTCATACACCACCATATACACACAGATAATCCACAGAATTCAGAAAGGAAGGCATGTACACAGATTGCCTGGTTTCAAAACGAAGGGGAGTCCTGCCTTTCCCTCACACTCTACTTCTATTTTGCTGCTTTACTATTGGCTGTGCTCACTCTGACAGACTTACTCCTGTAACACTCTTCTTGCCCAAGAGCAAGAGAAGAAAAGGGTGGGAAGGAGGGTTTTTATGAAATTGGAGAGAAAACAGAAATTCTATAAATTCTAATTTTATAATAAAAATCTTCTATGGCAAGAGTTATTTCAATTAATTGGATGTGTGGCATAGAGTTAAAATCAAAACAATCTTCTTACCTCTTTTGAATCTCTTGCTGTCTGGGACCAACTTAACAGTGGTCTATATCTAACTGATATAGACATGCTAATAATGATAGGATATGTAATTTTTATATCGACATGTACACAATGAATGTGTATCATTTATATGCACATCTATATATGCATCTATATACTCCAGGTTCTTTTAAAAATAAAATGCTGCCAAGCAAGAATGACTCAGGGAAAAAGCAAGCCTTGCATCTTGCAGAACAAACTAGATGATCCTGTTGACAAAGCAGTTTATTCAGTGCTGAGAGAAAGCAAAGAAGGGGATTGGGTGTTTCACATGTCTGCTCAGAATGTTTCATTACTTGAAGTTCAAGATATGCTTTTACCACAAGAGTACATCCTACAGCAGTGGCAAGAGCATTTGGCTCTGTTTTATTTGTGTTGCAGAACTGTTTAGTCTGCCTTTCGGATTCAATCAGAGAGACACTTACATGCTACAGGTAGGCTCCAGTGAGCCCATGCTTAAAGCTGTGGAAACTTTAGAAAACAAGCAAATTGCAAAAAAACTGATTTATAGTGGGGACAACAGAGAACAACCTATTGAATAAAATCAAGCATTATGAATAAAAAGAAAACAAATTTCACAAAGGATTAACATTGTTAACAATACTTTCCTACAGCATTTGGCCATTGTGGGTATTTTATTAGAACTTCATTAGCCTGTGTTTTTATAGAGAGAGGAGGGATGGAATAGAATGAAAATGTTGTTTAAAAATTCAACATGAAAATAAGCTCTGGAAAGCTATCACTGTATAAATTTATTCTCTTTTATTATTTCTGATTTTAGGGGATTTTAAATTCTCGAGAAGTCTACATTTTATTTCATTGTAAAATGTATACTTACCTATTCCAAGTGAAAGCTGGAAAGGGTTACAGGCCACCATAGATTAAAATTTCAGCAAGTCCTCTTAATTACACTTCCAAGAAAGAATCATGGAAAATCCCTTTCCCCAATGCCTCCCATTTCACACAGGAAACCCGGCAGATACACCAAGAGACTGAAGCTTTAACCCTGTGTTCAGAATTCAAATCAACAGCCATGAGGGGGTCCAGAGGTGAGGCTGCTTGGTATAACGCTACACTCCAAAATTATGGTCATTGTTGCTAGATTGTTCTTTTATCTCCTTATATCCTTGGTTGCAATCTTCAGTTCCACCCCCCACCAAAAAAGACCCCCACCAGATCACTCCGCTCTGTATATCTGCAAAAAAGCAGGCAAGGGTGGAGAATGTGCTACGCTTCCAATTCCAGAAACAGCAACAGCATGCTGGAGCTTAGAGCCAATCCAGACCGAAATGCAGTCAGCAGCACCATCGTGTCAGTGTGGCTTTCCAGAGGCTCTCCCCAAAACAAATGACAGGGGACGTGTGGGTTTCAAGCACGGCAGCAACTTTTGGCAAGATTCAGCACTGAACAGCAGCACCTTCGGAGCAGAGTCTGTCGAGCCGAGTCTGGGATCCTTCAGCACCACGGACAGCAGCCGGCGATTCGCATTTTGCATCATGCAGGCGGCGGAACGTGCCGCTCCTCTGGGCGAAGAAAACAAATCCTACGCTTCTACTCAATGGGTCCACGTTCACTCTGGGAAGCTCTCCGTAGACGGAAGGTATTTTCTAAATTACCCATAAATATACTTTTGCATTTGACAACTCCCTTCCAAAGAAACAAAACAGAAAGCCTGCCGATTTCAAAACGGTAGAATCAGACGAGACTGCAGGGCTACGTTCCAGGAAGTGGCAGTCGGTAGATTGAGGCTCTCTGCAGTTACTGAATGATGAGGCAAGGGTATCTGTCAAGGCATTGGTCTGAAACTTACACATTCTTGTTTTGCTGTCAGTCAGAATTACTACTTTAAAAAATACATTTGTGTATGTGTGTGTGTGTGTGTGTGTGTGTGTAGATCTGTATTGAACGCTAATGTGTAATTGAATTTAGAGGTTAGAACAAGTTAAATATAGCACCACTGCCAGAAAAGTATATTTTCTCTTCTGCCTTGTGCTGTAGTACCTTGGTGGTGGTGGGGATAATTTCCCCTGCAATTCATCTCCTCTGTCATTAGGCGTCATTGTAAAGCTATTTCTCGAGGAAAATGCCAAATGATAGCTTCCTTTGATGCATTCTTTATTGCCAAATAAACAGACATGATTGCAAAAAGATAGTGTGTGTACATATATATATATATATATATAAAATTAAACTAAGATATGAAAACTTTGCTTTATTTCAGATAATGGAAATACAGTTTAAGCCACCGGCACTGCTAGGAGGGTGCAGGAGAATTACTGAGAGATTTAATAAAATAGTGGACAAGTGTCTCAGTTCCAAATGCGAACGGTACCATCAGAGCCACCCGAGACCAGATGTTCTGCCTTGTGATCAAAAACGATGCTCTGAACTTCATCTTCATGGCCCAACAAGCTGGACAGATGACCCGATTTGAGTTCTAAGGTCTTAACAGTTCCATCGTTGCTTGCGAGAGCTACAATACGACCTATAACATAGAGCAAGGAGATCAGAGGTCCAGAAGACAAGAGTAAAGAAGCAACTTTGGCAGCTCCGTGCCTGAGGCTGTAGACTCTCACATTCAATTTATCCATTTTCTGCACATAACTGAGACTCAGATAAGCAAGCACTTTTAGCACAAAGTACATAAAATCAATGTTTAAAAGAGATTAGATCTGAGAGTGATTAAATAAACCTGAGGATTTCACACTGCCATTCAAGTAAACAAAACTGTGGGGACCATTGTTTAATATAAGGCTGAAATGCCTTTAGTCCAGTCATTCATATTCTGTAATCAGGAAGCAAAATTATGAATTAAAACATGAAATAAATCTGTAAATTTAATATGCAAATCAATAAAATTATTTTAAAAAATAAACCTTAAGTTTTTTACATAATATTTTTACCATAGGTATATGTATAAATAAAATTTAGATTGTAAGGGGCCATAAATGTTTAGCAATGACAGCATGAACATTTGCTATGCATTGAAGTCAAAAACTGCCCCCCAAACTGAAGACAGCTACTTATCCAGCAAACCCTTGGAAACAGAGGATGCCCAGTATGTACACAAAGAGGTCCATTTCCTGCAATACCCCTCCTTGCAATGGAGGCAAAAACTAAGAGCTTCCAACTTGATTTGAAGGAAGTGGGGGAGCCCTCTTGAATGCTTACTCTGTAATCTAGGTAAAAGTATGGACCAGAGAGAATAGGCATTTCAATGGCTCTAAAATGCAACTAGCTATTGAAAACATAAATTATATCAGATGCTGAGCAAGAATCATTTATTTGTAACCCATAGAGAGAGAGAGATTGGAAATGTGGAGGACAGAAAAGGGTGTCAAAGAGGGCTGGGGAGGATATCTAGAAGCACCAGAGATCTACATTTTCCAAAAACTGGCAAGAGCTGGAACTTCCAACTCCATCCAACTCCATTACAAACCTAAAAGCCTGATTGAGGCAAAGGCTGTACATACACACTGCCCTCTGTTGCCCTCTATTGCCAGTAACTCAGTGTTCCCGCATGAAAATTTGGGTGGCTAAAGGGAAGTCCATGTTTTATTGGTAGCCATTCCTTCAGCCAAGCAGAGGTTCTCACAGCAGGAACCTGTGACAGCCTCAAGGTCAAGAGTTGGGAGGGATAACTCAAATCCTTTTGACCCTGGACACATGATGGAATCCATGGAAAGAGACCCTGAAGAGGTCCAGCACAGGACTTCATGGCTGCCATGATGACTGTGGGGCTGCCCCAACATGTCATCAACCCAATGCATGTGACAGGCTACACCTTGGACCTTCTTTTCTCAACTGGGCAGGAAGCGGGTGATCTGAATATTGACTGCAGCCCCTTCCTGTTGTGATTTAGGCTGCCTCTGAAGACAGTTTGGAAACCTCAGCTGGTGCAGAATTCAATGGCCAGGATGCTCACTGGGGCAAAACAGCATATAATGCCAATTCTGGCCTGGCACTGGCTGACAATTAGTTTCTAGGCCCAATTTAAGCCTAGAAAGTCCTGAGCCCAATTTAAGCCTGCAGTCCTGAGCCTAAAACAGCTCAGGACTGCAATACCTCAAGGACCACTTCTTCCCATATGTAATGTCCTGGACCCTGTAATCATCACCTGAGGCCCTTCTTTGTGTGAGGCCCTTCTCTGTGAGAAGTCCAGAGGATGGCAACACAAGGACAGGCCTCTTCTACAGTGGCTCCCGGCTTGCGAGATGCTCTCCCCAGGGAGGCTTGCCTAGTGCCTTCACTACATATCTTTAGGCACCAAGTAAAAACATTCCTCTTCTCCCAGGCCTTTGGGTGATTGAACAATCTATGGCATTTTAAACTGTTTGTTTGTGTGTGGAGGGGTGTTATTGTTTGTTACTATGGTATGTATTTTTGTTTTTATATTACAAACCTCCCCAGGATCTTCAGGTGAAGGGCAGTATAGAAGTTTAATAAATTGTTATAAATATTATAATGAATCTGAATAACTCTTCCAATATGCCTTCAGCTTCCTGAGGGTCTTTCTACTTGCTAAAGTTACTTGGAGCTACTGAGAAGGGTACTGTTAGCTGGTCCAGTGCTGCTCTTCTAAAGCTCTGGCAATGTAGCATTATCATCCCATGTTCCTTACTCACCTGGCTAGGCTTCATGAGGAACTTAGAAGTGGGATTGCAAATGTTCCCACTTCTCTATGTCATATCACTGCCCTCTACCATGAAGTATAGGCTACCACTCATAGGTAGGGGACCTGTTAGGACATTGGAACACTGTCCAAGGATATTAGAATCCAAATTGCTAGTACTATACCAGAATCACAAACAGGAAACCGTTTTTTTAAAAAGGAGAAGGAGGAGAAGAAGACACTGGCTAAATATCAGGAAAACCTTTCTGACAGAAAGAGCTGTTTGACAGTGGAACAGACTGCCTTGGGAGGTGGTGGACTCTTCTTCCTTGGAGGTTTGTAAGCAGAGGTGGGAGGGCCATCTGTCATGGATGCTTTAGCTGAGATTCCTGCATTGCAGCGGGTTGGACTAGATGACCCTTGGGTCCCTTCCAACTCTACAGTTCTTTGATTCTATTATTCTACCACAATATGCTATTGTAGAGAGATCACTTAACAGCTAAAGTTAAGCTAGGATCTGGTATGTTATATATTTGAATTACTCTCTAAACGTACCTGAGAAACTCCTCATAAATTAAATGTAATAATCATGAGCTTCACGTACAATCAAAAATCAATAAAATCATTTCAAAGCAGATGTGGTCCTTCCAAGAAAGACATCACTGCAATTCAAGTAATGATTACAAGAACTTTTGGGGTAAAGCAGAAAGTTCAAAATACACTCAGGGTGATTATAAGCCCTTTGTGTGTTCTGGTATATGGTTTAAAAAATTACCCAAAGATGAAGAATTTGTTTTTTCCAGGTCAAAGGCTGACTTGAAGGAACAACTCCACCCCCATTGTTCAGCCTGGACACTGAGGTCCAGTTCTGAGGGCCTCCTGGCGGTTCCCTCACTGTGTGAAGTGAAGTTACAGGGAACAAGGCAGAGGGCCTTCTCGGTGGTGGTGCCCTCCCTTTGGAATGCCCTCCCATAATAAAATCATTGTTGCTGTTGTTATTGCTGCTGCTGCCGCTGCCGTTATCTCTTCTCCTTAATTCATAAATAGTCCCAGAAGCCAATAGTAACTTGCCATTCTGAGGATAGGTGCACATGCACATATAATAAATGTTGATCTGATTGAAGCAGTGGGATTTAACATTGCAACTATCTCACTTCATCGTTTCAATGAGACTCACTGTGCCAATACATTTTATCTTATACTCCTTTTAAAACCTGCTCTATCCCCCATGCCTCGGGGTACATTTTCACAGTTCAGAATGGGCCTTCCTGCATGACTTCTTAATACTAAATGGGTGTCCAGCAGATGCTTCTAATGACCAACTTATCTTTTTAACCTTATTTCTTGCATCTTTGCAACAGCTCTGTGAAGTTGGGTACCCACTACTTTCAATGGGTTCTACTCTATTGCTTTCAATGAGACTTTGCCATGGCTAACGTCAGTAGAAGAATTTGAGGTTATGAATTATTACATTGATCCAAGACTTTTATGTGAATTTTAGACAGAAGCTTCAATTGACAATGAGCTAGAGTTAATCTAGCTGAGGGTGCAGCCCCAATCCCCTTTGCACCAGGTTGGTGGGTGGGTGCTGGATTGGGCAGAAGTTCTCCTTCACCCAACCCTGCCAGGCTCCCCCTGTAGGGTGATGCCAGCATCAGCCTGCTGGCATGGAGCTCCCCTTCCACCCACTGAACGTGCAGACAGGCAAGATCCCTGTCTGGTGGAGACTAGTGGAAATCCCAAAATGGTGCACTCCAGAGGTGGAAATCCCAAAATGGTGCACTCCAGAGGGGCTGAGATGGCCCTCTGTGCAGTCACGTGATGGCACTGGGTCCAAACTGGCACAGGGCACTGAGCACTAGATACAGCCCTGCCTCATTTCTATCCTGGCCAAGATGAGCAGCAGGGCTATGGGTAAGGCAATAGCACAACTACTGTGTTAAACCATGCCAGGCCCTGGCCAGGGTTTAGACTGCATCCTTAAATGCACTTAAGTCCCATTGAAATGCG